TATATATATATATATATATATATATATATATATATATATATACATGTGTGTGTGCGTGCGTGTGTGCGTGCGTGCGTGCGTGCACGCGCGTGTGTGTGTGTGAGTGTGCGAGCGGGCGGCGTCTGTTTTTGTGCTTGTTACACGTGTTGTTGCAGCAGTTGTTGTTGTTGTTGTTATTGTTGTTGTTGTTGTTTGTGCAAGGGTGTTGCTGCAGTTGTTGTTGTTGTTGTTGTTGTTGTTGTTGTTGTTGTTATTGTTGTTGTTGTTTGTGCGGGGGTGTTGATGCTGCACACGGGATACTGTGTGCTTATGTTGTATACTGTGGTTGTCTCATGAGTAGTGGTCTCCATACATATACAACAGCAATAGAAATAGAATATGGGTGTAGGACGTCGACTCTACACCAGATCATAGCTACAAGTGCTCAGGAGCCCGTTGTCAGAAACAAAATTAGTCTTAACATTAATCTTAACACTAAAATTTTCTCGTAGACCGTCGACAGCACTTTGTTTCGTATTGTTATGCGGAAATCTGCTACGATTTTTCATTCAGGTAACTTCGCAGCGTTTCTGTCGCCGGTCTAACAGAAAAAGTTAATGTGAAGACTAATTTTGTTTCTGACAACGGGCCCCTGGTTTGTTACATGGGCTGTGTAGTGGTAGGCGTGGTTAACACGCAGACTGTATAGACAGTAGAGTAGGCGTGGATCCCAAACATCTACATTATATCACAGCTGAAGCCCTCTGCTTTGTCACACAGGGGTCTGTGACAACCTCGGTGGTTCACACAGACAGTAGAGGCGCCCCGGCTACGCCAACGGCGTTTGGTTAGGCTGCAGCTGCCCTCGAGTTCATGCTTGCGGTATGATTACATACTCACACACCGAAGCTCTTCACTGAAGCGCTTTATATATATTTATATATATATATATATATATAAATATATATTATATACAATACATGCATGCGTGTGTACGCGGCGGCAGCAAGAAACAGCTAGACGTACTACGATGAAATCTCTACGTAATTCGCTTCCTCATTTAGAATCGCTACATCAGTAGCGCATGACCGGCGGCACAAGCAGCATATAATCCCCCCTCCCCCTCTCTCCCTGCTGCTGCTGCTGCTGCCGCCACCGCCCGCATCCTTCCACGCGTGGGATGCTCAGCTGCCGTCTGCACTACTGAATTCCCGCATCCTCTTATGAGAGAGAGGGGGGAGAGAGAGGGAGAGAGAGGAGGGGGAGAGAGAGGGAGAGAGAGGAGGGAGAGAGAGAGGGAGAGAGGAGTATAGACCGAACAGAGCTCAGTCGACTCCCGTTAAGAGGCAATTAAGATGAAAGCTGAAAGCGCGCTCTCGGGGGTCGGTGGTGTGCTGCGCCGTCGCGTCGCGGTGGTTTGTGCGCTGCAGGCGGGGTGTGTCGTGCTGCGTGTAATGTGTGTGTGTCGCCGCTGTGTGCGTGGGTGTGTAAGTGTGTGTGCGCGCGTGTGAGTGCGTGTGTGTGCGTGTGCGTGCGTGCGCGTGTTTGTGCGTACGTGCGTTATAAGTCGGCGTTCTTTCCCCTTGTTGAGCACTCAGCTTATCATGTCTGTCGGCATCGAAGAATTGACGTCACGTCACGCGTAGAAGACGGAGTTTACTGCGTGTTTACATGTTTTATAGTGAATGCGTGAGACGGTAAAGACACTGACGGATGCAACACTGACTGACGCAACACTGACGTACGCGAGAATAACTGACGCAACGCTGACGGACGTGAGATTGACGGACGCAACACTGACGGATGCAACACTGACGGACGGGACACTGACGGACGCGAGATTGACGGACGCGACACTGACTGACGCTAGAATATATGACGCAACACTGACGCAACACTGACGCACCGGTTCGTCCGCAGTCGCGCGACAACTGCGGCACCAGTGTCACCAGGTAGCGCCACGTTCTCTCTCAGCGCGCCGACGCACGAGCGCCGCACTGAGATAGCAGCGCCGCCGCCGCGACGATGACAGTGGCCGACACCGCCGCCGGACAAGAGAGCATCCGAAGTCAACAAAATGGCGGACTGGACCGCCGCCAGCGGAAATGAGACGTGGTACGGCAACGCGACGTCGCCGACGTCTGACACGTCACTGCGCGACCTGGCGGCGGGTTACGACGCTGACCTGCTCACCTTCTGGCTCTACCACATCTGCGCTCCCGTCGTCGTCGCCCTGGGACTCGTCGGCAACACGCTCAACCTGGCCGTGCTCTGGTGCAGTAAGGACCTCGTCTTCGTACCGTACGTGTACCTGCGCGCGCTCGCGATAGCCGACTTCTGCGCGATGCCCGTCTACAGCGCATACCTGTTCTTCGCGCTGTCGCCGACCGCGTCCGAGCGCGTTCCCGCCGTCGCGCTCTACCTCGCGCACGCGCACATGCCCATCTTCAACTCGCTGATGGGGGCCAGCAGCCTGCTCGTGATGGCCGTGACGCTGGACCGCTGGTGGGCGATCTGCCACCCGCTGCGCGCGCTCTCCTGGCGCACGCCGCGCGTCGTCGCCGCCGCCTCCGCGGGGTTGTTCGCCGCCGCCTTCCTCATTCACGTGCCCGAGTGCTTCCAGTACCGCGTCGTCGCGCTCGGCGGCGTCGGCGGCGCCAACACGACGCTCTACGTGCTGCAGTGGAACCACGAACTGCACGAGAGCGTCTGGTACGGCGTCGTGTGGCCGTGGTGCGAGGCGATCGTCTGCCGCGTGCTGCCCGTCGTCTGCGTGATCGTGCTCAACCCGCTCATACTGCGCGCCTTCCGCGCCGGCCTGCGCAACCGCAAGACCCTCTCGCCGACCATCTCCGCGCGCAAGGAGCGACGCGAGCGCGCCGAGCAGCGCCACCTGGCGGCGCTGCTCACCATGCTGTCGGCGACGTTCGTCGTCTGCACGGTGCCGATGACGACGTTGACGCTGGTGGACCGCATGGTGCCGCAGGAGCGGCGCGAGCGATTCGCCTTCTACCCCGGCCTCAGCCACGTCGCGAACATCGTCGAACTCGTCAACGTCTCCGTCAACTTCTACCTGTACAGCGTCAGCAACACGAACTTCCGCAAGGCGTGCCTGAGCGTGTTCGCCCCCTGGTGTCGGCCGCTGCGCGGGTTCGCGCGCCGCCCGACGTTCACGTCGAGCGACCGACGCAGCGGCAGCATGGTGTCGCACGTCAGCGTCAGCCGCACCGACACGACCGCCAGGGGGCGCCAATCGGTGGTAGCGGCGTCGCTGCGGCAGAAGGCGGTCGCCGACGGTGGCGCCCCGCCGTTGGCGATCGAGTCTTACTGCTGATGAGGGCAGGGGGCGGCACCATGCACTCGGTGGGATGGTGTCGAGTGGACACAAGTGCTTGTGGCTGGAGGGTGCTCTCAGAGTGGGGGTGCTCACACCGTGCTGCTCTCAGTCGGACGGCGCCAAGCGGACATGAGAGACGCCATATTTGGGGAGATAGCTGCCACAGCAGGACGCGTCATCATGCGACAGCCATGTATGACGCGTGAATTAATTCACCTGCTAAGAACAGGGTGCTCTCTCTCCCATGCCAGGGGGCGGTGACCCCCCCCCCCCCGGCGTGACGTCACTATCACCCACGTGAGTGTGAAATCTTATCAGTAGAGCGGAAGGGGAGCGTCTGACCCTGCACTTGCCCCACTGCAGTGCTAACGATGCACATGTACGATGATAGACATGGTCAGGGTTTGAAGCGTGATGTATGTCCACCGCGAAATGCTCCTTGACATTTCCAGAGACGTCTCAACACTGGCAACCCAAGTGTTCGGCTCGTCCGGGCCGTAGTTTTACCTATCCAGTATTACTTGTGCAGTGTTACCTGGGCCGTTTTACCTGAGCAGTGTTTCCTGAGCAGTTTTACCTGAGCAGTTTCACTTGCAGAATAATGCGAATATTACCCGTGCAGTTTTACCTGGGCAGTTTTACTTGAGCAGTGTTGCCTGAGCAGTATTACCTGTCCAGTGTTACCTGGCCAGTGTTACCTGTCTAGTGTAACCTGTCCAGTGTTACCTGAGCAGTTTTACTCGTACGGAGTTAAACCGTGAACGCGATTGCGTGGAAGAGGTACACAAAGAGATTTAGAGCACAGATGAACTGGAATTACCGATGAGATGAGAATTACGTGGAAGCCTTCCACGAGCTGGGGATGTTATGACCAAGACGGGATGTCCGCAGGCACTCGTCACGCTAGACTACGCGTGCGTGTGCATCTACCCACGAACCGCATCCACGATAGATCTATATATCTATATGTAACGAACGAGGTCAGTGTGTGTGTGTGTGCAGACACTCTGCTGTCTGAGTGTAAGCTATATATCTCTGCCTATACGATATCATAGAGCAGTACCTTCTACGTGCGTTAAGAGATACAGACCTCTGCACTGCTGCATATAGGGAGACGACAGAAGACAGATGTGTGGCACAATGACCGCTAGAAGATGACCGGCGGTCAAGTGAGTGGGCAAAGGGTCCGGTTGGCGGTCCGTCGGCAGGTTGCTATCGGCTGAATTACTATGAGCAAACATTCGGTAAGATGGGCAGGCCATTCACGCAGCGCCATTGCTAAGGGATTTCGGTACGTGACGTCACACTCGCGAATTGCGCATGCGCGTTGCCCCGACTCGTTACGAGGTTGTTTACTTGTCGGTGATTAGTAAACAAACGGGAGGCAGCGATAAGGTAATCGTATCATCACAAATTCACGCTTAAGTCAAGTAATCGTTCATTCACGCACCCACGCACGCACGCACGCACGCACACGTGGACGAACTATCGGAACTTATCCGGGGGTGCGGTAATCATTCATCCGCGCACGCACGCACGCACGCACGCACGCACGCACGCACGTGTGGACAAATCAACCATCCATCGGAACTCATCCGGGGGGGAAACAGCGGGAAGTGATTACTGTACGTGTAGGTGATGGTAAACATTTCCTCCATTCAGCCTACACCCCGCATGACGGCGGCAGACGACAGCGCCATCATAAAACACTGCATTACCCGCATTCGCGCCTACATCGCAGCGCAAACAGGCGTGCTGGCCAACAAAACCATATATCCGGACGCGCCGATGGAGTTTGTTGGCGCGCAAGGCAGGTTCATTATCCGTCTCGTATCTCACTTCATATCGTGTGAATTCGAGCCTGTCTGCTGCAGACGCGAATGCAGGTATCATCATCGTCGTCGTCGCTGCTTTCTCTGTGTCTCTCTGGCTCGCTCCTTCGATTCTATCTCAATATCTCGGCGTCGGTTCCACCTTCTTCCCATCTCGCTCACCCTCTAGCTTCCACTCGATCTCTCTCTCGTCCGCTTCTCTGTGAAACTCTCGATCTCTCTCCCTCTCCCCTTCTCTTTATTCCTCATCCCTCTTTCTCTCTCGCCCCTCTCCCCCCCCTCTCTCTCTCGTCTCCCCTCACTCATTCATTGCACGAAGTTTCATTGATACTTATCCGTGAGTTTACCGGAGAGGAGGCGTAGAAGTAGATACGGAAGATAAGTCATTGTGCTAGGCGCTAGTATATGACGATCAAACGAGCGCGTGAGTCGCTCTCTATGTGCGCGCATGAGATTCTGTGTTGATGAGAAGTAGTTAGATGTGTCCAAGAGAGTTATTAGTGTCCAAGTCAGGAGCACAGCGCGTGACAGTACCACCACTTCACACGCCCACCGAACTGCACCGCGCGAGTTAGTTATACAGGAGAAGGCAGTTCCTCTAAAGGCTTTAGACTGGTACCCGGTCGACAGATCCTACTGAGCTACACTAACAACCGGTAGGCGCCGTTTAAAGCTTGGTAGCTATTGGTGAGTTGCGACTGACCAATCGCTACAAAGTAAGCCTTCAGCGATCGAAATCTCGCCGTACCTGCATAATAATTTAGATAATTGTTTCTTTTCACCAGCGGTGGAACTAATTTCTCTTGCAAATCCTTTCCCAATGTCAGATTTCTTGCAAACAACGCAAATTCTCTCACTTACTCGTAACTTCCTAATTGTTATTGTCGCCATTAGTGATTACAACGGGAACGAGGCTGACAAAAATCGCTTTGCGCATGCGCGCATACGGTCAGAATCTGACCGTATGGATTAGGCCGTACCGGTCGTGAGCATAGCAAAGGATACTTGCCGGAGTGAAAGTGGCGAACGGGTACCAGTCTATAACGGCTTCCTCCTCACCTCCACCGACGCGAAAGACGCGGCAGAGGATACTCCGCGAGAGCAGGGGTTATCACGTGGTGTGCGGCCGCGCGTGGCGTTGGCATGACAACAGGCTCGCAGACGCCGAGCTAGATCGTGGGCAGTGTTTCACGTTGACTGACCAGTGGACCAGGTGGGCAAGGAGTTACGGACACTGCCGGACGTCAACGGCCAAGTGGTAATAACGGGAGCTCAGACACGCGCGCACACGCACACACACATACGCACGCACACACACACACACGCACGCACGCACGCACGCACGCACACACACACACACAAACACACACACCCGGACGTCACACCCGGACGTCACCCCCGGACGACACACCCGGACGTCAACGGCCAAGTGGTAATAACGGGAGCTCAGACAGGCGCGCATACGCACACACACACACATACGCACGCACACACACGCAGGCACGCACGCACGCACGCACACACACACACACACACACACACACACACAAACGAAATTACACAGGCACGCACGCAGACACGCGCGTTGGCTATTCGTTTCCAATCGAATTACACCGCTCGGGCACAACACAACGCACTGCCCATTGACTGCCCCCGCCCGCCATCCCCGCCTGTTTATCCCGCCACCTTTAACACTCTCTCTACGTTATCTCTGCAGGTGAGCAGGTAGCCTCGCGTACAAGAGTCAACCCGCAATGGACATCTACCTAAACGCGACGTTGGACGTCGTCGTCGCCGACAACAACGCCACGCTCGCCGACGACGCTGGCGACGTCGCCGCCGCCGTTGCCGCTGCCGCCGCCGCCGCTGCCGCCGCTGCCGCCGCTGCCGACTTCGCGCGTTTTTGGACTATCCGCAGGTTTATCTTCCGCTACCTGACGCCGGTCGTCGTCGCCCTGGGTGTTGTCGGCAACACGCTCAACCTGGCCGTGCTCTGGTGCAGTAAGGACCTCGTCTTCGTACCGTACGTCTACCTGCGCGGACTCGCCGGAGCGGACCTGTGCATGACGATACTCTTCGGTAGTTACTATCTCACGCAGGTCTTCATCCACAACTTGGACGTGAGCGTGCATCTAGCGCGCTTCCGCACATACGTGTACCTCCCTGGTTTCAACTCGCTGGCTGCTGTCAGTAACACCCTTGTCATGATCGTCACCGTGGATAGATGGTGGTCGATCTGCCACCCGCTGCGCGCCATCGCCTGGCGGTCGTTCGCAGTCGCGCGCGCCACCGTCGCAGCCGTCTACGTCCTCTGCTTCGCGCTGCACGTGCCCGAGCTGTTCACGTACACCGTCGGCAGGTGGCGCGACCTGGCGACGAACAAGACCTACTACAGCGCCGACTGGAACTCCGACATCCACAAGACGGGGTTCTACCGCATCGCCTGGCCCTGGTCAAAGGTCATCCTCACCAAGCTGCTGCCGATCGTCGTTGTCATGGTGATGAACCCACTCATCTTCCGCGCGTTCTACGTCGCCGGACGCCGCCGCCGCCAACTCTCCGCAGCGCAGACTGGCTCCGCCGCCGACCTCCGCCAGCAGGCCGAGCAGCGCCACCTGACGGTGCTGCTCATCACGCTGTCGGTGACGTTCGTCGTCTGCGTGGCTCCCCAGGTGGTGCTGTCGCTCGTCGACCGCATGGTGCCGCAGCAGCAGCTCATTACCAACTACGACTTCCAGGTGTTCCGTGACGTCGCGAACTTCCTCGAACTCGTCAACGTCTCCGTCAACTTCTACCTGTACAGCGTCAGCAACGCGAGTTTCCGCCGCGCGCTGTGCGGGCCGGTCGCCGGGGCGTGCCGCGCCGTCTCCCGCCTCCCCTCGCGAGCCTCCACGCGAAGCAGCGAGCTCCGATGGGCGTCGGGAACCGACGGCGTCTATGCGATCACGCTCCCCGCCATCGCTGCTGCGGCAGAGAAGCGAGGGGCTAGTCCAGTGAGCAGCCAGTCGCATTCGACGACGATGAGCGCCCTCTAACGGGGTCCCGAGGATGGATCCCCCTCGCTCTCGCTCTCTCTCCCTCTCTCTACACACACACACAAACAAATAATAAAGCATGCAATGCCATGTGTACTAACGCTATTTCCAAATCAACCTTGATGTCGAACCAATGTTGGGCCTGCAGAGCAACAAAAGTTGTGGTCCGTGACTGAACCTTTACACACTTCCTACTGTTTATGCTGTTTTGTGAATTGTTGATTGATTAGTTGTGATACCATGAATCCCTCACCTGTGTTATCATCATTGCACACGGAACAATCAGCATCTTGGCGTAGAAAAGTTGGTAGTCAGCCAAACTCAAAAACAAGCATGCACCAACTCTTCTTCCTGTGAGATAAGCGAAAACTAAATTAGCACAATCTAAATGTATGAATAGTTTAAGATTCACAAATTGAAAAGCAGATATTTACATTATTTTTCACAATGACCATCATTTTCATTAAACAGTATATTTTTTAGTAATGCAATGGAGTATCTTATGAGCCATGAAATATGGTAACCTAAGGCTGGAATTGTCCTTGTTCTCTTGGCAAAATGTCACATCACTCACAGTCACAGTATCATTTAACCCTGATTCTGCATATAATAACACAATTATTGCATGGTTATTCAGGTCAAATGTAGTTTTTTATGGACCTCACCACGTTTCCCTTTCAACTAGGAAATAATAGTAATATATACATACACACACGTAAATATAAATATATATATATATATATATATATATATATATATATAAACATAGTGCTATAAACACATAACATTTTCGCTCACGTAAAACTCCTGGTTTTCTATAATGCATAACACTGGGCTATGTACTACACATCTCCAGCAGATGTCATACCTTTGCATGTCCACAGGAATGCCATCGCGAGAAAGAAATTGCTGAAGACCGTCGTCGTGAGCCCAGCACATGAAGCGACGGTGTATGGGTTGAACAGGTATCTGTGAAACGCACAGACAAACATCACTGACAGGCAGGTGGACTCAAGTATAAACTGCCAAGATTAATCACTATTTATTGCTTGATCATATGACTGGCTGAAAATGTCCAGGTCCAACATAATATAATATAATATAGTATAATATAATATAAGCAATCACTCGGCGTACATAACTAGGGTACAGACGACAGCTCTGCGTAGCTGTCTCTCGTTCAGTAAGAGCGTCTCCGTGCCAGCCGCATACGTGTGCTCCTCTAACTTCTGTCGTTGCAACTAAGAAAGAGAGAGGGAGAGAGATAGAGAGAGCGGATTTTGATAGTCATATGTTGCTGATCGTTGGGACTAAATTAATTAATGAAAATTGATCAGGAGTATATAATCTTAGAGGAGTTTGACACATATTTTTCCGCGTTTTAGTCAATTGTATCTTTTTGATTACGCCTTTCTACACATATGTAATATTGCGGATAGTTGGGACTAAATTAAAGGGACAGTAGCCTCTAGGATTTTACTGCATGCAGCTGTACTTACTGTATAACAAATCGTCTATACCCACACGTATTTGTTACCAGATACCTAATTTAATTGTTATAATTAATTACACATCAACGCTACGAAATTTGAACGGCGCCATGACACCCGCGACCGTGCTGCCACCCCGAAAAAGTTGTATCTTGGACAATTTTTTTGCACGTTACAGACCGAGGGCTAATCACAAAAGTGCAATTATATTTATACCTAAATCCTTAGGGCAAATTTATCCATATTATTACTGAAACTATATGTCGTTAATTATAAGATATTACAAACCTTTTGCTTTTAAATGAATAAATAAGAAACACCCTCAGTCTGTAGCCCTTGGCTGGAAAGTGGTTTTGCGCAACTTATCAGATCGTGCGCTTTGAGTGGCGCCACCGTCGTTGCAATCAAACTGTAGTCGTTAGTTTTAAAACATTAAAAAAAAGTATTTTCTAATGGTGATTGAACCATGACACTTTTTATGTAGCGTAATTATAACCTAAATTAGGTGAAAATAACCCTAGAACCTAGAGTAAACTCTCCCTTTAACTATTGAACATCGATACATGCCAATGTACACGTAATTATATAGTACGGAATGGCTAACATCGATTATTATACTGATGTAGGATGATAGTGTAACAAGTGTGGCACCACCTCTTGGCAAGACACAGAGATACCTACCAACATTTTGGAGTTCAGGGCATCCAAATTCCAATGTAGGAAAATTGCAGTAGAATATGTCCTGATGCAGGACAAGTGACTGAACAATGTATATGTTCTACAATAGAATCCAAAGATGAACTGAACGAGTCTCTATTATTATACGTATAAACATATTCATAAATACCAGGACATATACGCTACACAGCTGATTTTTCACAACATGCTATTTTATACTTACCAGATATCTCCCAAAGTGCACAGCAGCAGATGAGAGTGCAACTGCAGTGAGCACGTCTACTATCTGAAATAAAACCCGATCAAATAACACCTTATAATAATAAAACTGTACGTAATATGGAGCAACTATCATAAAACTAGCTCTACTGGGATGTGCATCTCTAACAGAATTATTGGTGACTACTTGTATTGTCCTTTAACTATTATTGCACACAGATATAGACACATATATACATGGTTTCATGCCTTATTCTTACTATATTTAGAGTGACCATTAGGACTTAATGAATAAGTATGCATTTAAAATGTAACAAAACAAAGTTTCATATAAAATTTAAGAGCTTTATGGAGCAGTTTCATTAAACAAACCATGAATATGATTGGAATCCATTCTCTGAAGTTTTTGTGAAGAAAGTGAAAACCCACCAGGAACAACGGTTGCTGAAACAAAATGCCAAACAGAATTGAATCACGTACAGCATTTAATGTAGTTAATTGAAGCAATTTGCAGAAGTGTGAAATACAATTGGGAGACGACACTGTGGCACTGAACCAGCAGCAACATCTGAATAGCACCAAACTTCTTGTTATAAAGAAGAATATAATGCGAACCTAAATACGCATGTTAAACCTAGTAATGTGTAGCTATGTTATTTTTCAATAAATCCTTGAGAGCTGTACCAAATGTGGAAAATAGTTTTGCAGTCCTTGTGTTTTGGAAAAGGCAGGCGAGTGAAAAATCACACACCTTGGCTTGCCGAGGTGTGTGATTTGCATGCGAGTGCCCGCAGGGCCTGAGGCAAACTAGGGGGGTTCGGGGGCCCCCGTTCATGCCCTCCGGAAAAATGTTTAAATCTAGACTTCATGAAATGCCATTTCCAGCATTTTGGGATAAAAATTAGCTCTGCATTTGTACTCTTAATTTTCATATTTTTTAGGTGATCATCATGTTAGATTTCATCTAACAAAATATCAGTTCTTGAACATGTGGATAACTTGAATCACACATTTAGCATGTTTAGTCAAAAAGGAACAATACTCCATTTTTCAGCGTTTATTTGTGATCAGTAATGCATGCCAAGTTGACCCGAAAAAAACTACGAGACGCTACATTTGATGGGCTGTTTCTAGAAATACAACCAATCACATTCGTCGTTCTAGAGCGCTTTGCGACTGTTGTAACGGCCAACCAACAATTACTTCCCGAATGACGTCTTTTAGCGTATGGCTCGCGTATGATAGACCGGACGGTTTTGGTTTTGGTTTTGGGTGGGTTCGGGTGCAAAGCAGTCAACGCAGGCAGTAGGCTTTGTGAGTTACGACGGTCGAGAGTTGTTTATACGGTTCAGTGTGTAACGGAAGAATACCAGAGTCAACGATACGTCAAGCTTTCGTCTATGGTCATCGTCGTTATAAACATACATGTGAACCGACTTCCGGCAATGTCCGTGATGTTTACAACAGTTTGCGTTTATCTTCGAGTTTATAAGTTGAATTAATGAAAGATAAAACACGAAGCGAGGTGTGCGTTTTGATAATGCTTAGATGCGCATTTTTTCGCACTTCTCCTGATCAATCGAGGCGCGCGATGGTGCGCGAGCGCGATCGCGCACCTTAAAACACAAGGACTGGTTTTGTTTACCACATTATACAGCCAACTGTCACAGACTCATGACAATGGTATAAAACTGACAATAACATATAGTTCACCAAAAGAAGGTATTTACAATAGATATATGACATATATCATACTTTATTATACTGTGAACATTACCTCATGGAATGCATCCCCTGAGTAAGGGTCAATACCATTGTCATATAGAAAAATACCCTCTGTCACTGCAAAAAAGTAATATCATGTCAAACTCAGAATAAATCACTCAATAGGAAAAAAAAGCCAACAACAATTCGCCACTGATCTACCACAGTGTGTGCCTACCAGTAACTGACCGACGAGGTGATTAATTCTATGGTGAGACAGTCACAAGCTGACTAGGAAGAAAATGATTAATCCTGTCTGATTTATATATAAATAACTTATTTTTTCTACTCGCTATAATCTGTGGTCGGTGGTAGAAGTAGAACGGGGTGCTTGGCAACACCAAGGAGCTATATTATTATAACATATGTATAATAATATAGCTCCTTGGGCAACACTGTCACTACACTGTAGTCTACAGCTGTAAACAAACACATCTTTCCCGCAGGGTGCAAAGCATCCGGGCACTTTTAGAATGAATTGATTTGAAGTTTGGTTTGTAGTTGGCTGGTTCGGAAAGTGTAGTGAATAGATTGTAAGTCCTCGAAGTTTCTTGAATAGTTTTGCACACGGACCGGAAACAGCAGAGTGGGCGGCAAATTGTAAACGTTAGTAAGTGATTTCAGACGTCTTGAATAGATTGGAAGTTGCATAAATTAATTGTAAATAAAAAATAAAATATTCTACCCCAATGTTAGAGACAGTGCCATCTTCTGGTGAACAAACTGAGACTCCAGAAGATAACGCACACGAGATGGGTGTGGAATCACATTCACCCGGTCCACGGACAAGCGGTCGGGTAGTGCGCAAGCCGTTGCGTTTTTGGGATGATATTGATAAATGATTATTGGTAGCGAGTAGTGTGGTTAAAGTAACCAGTGCTTTGTGGAAATTTTAATGTGTTAATGCATAGTGAAGTATTGCGTGACCAGGAAAAAAGAAACGGTTGTATAAGATTATATATTATTCGATTCTCAGATATGTTTTTTAAAATGTTCTACATTCAGTTGAGTAACAGACAATCTCAAAAGGAGGGAGATGTCACGATAATATCAACACTGAAAACGACTTGTTATTCCTGATCTGTGTGTGTGTGACTGTGTGTGTGTGTGAGCTGGTTGTGTTATTTTGCGGCTTGTTAAATAAATGTGTTCTGTTCAGTTAAAGTATAGTTCGTGGTATCCTGAACGCGACAGGTACTATACTTAACCAAATTTAGTGAGAAATAGAAATACTTACTGAGAAATGAGAAAATTGGGGCCAAAAATTTACTGTTAACCTAGATTTGGAGTACCCCATCACATCAGGGCCCTCTTGAATGTACTGGTCACAAAATAAATACATTACAAATATAGTTTACACTGTTAAATGATGTAAGGCATTTGCAACATATAAATGACAGTGTTAAATTACAACTACTGGTGGATGCTATGGTGGATGGCGACTGCAGCGCCACTCGTTTTCCGTTTAACAGTATGAAAAACGAAAAACGAATTCGTATTTCCTTTACCGTTTATCGTTGTTGTGCGAGAAAAACGGAAAACGAATTCGTTTATCGCTTACCGTTTTTCGTTATCGTGTATGAAAAACGAAAAAGGAAATAACTACCCTTTTTCGTTTTTCGTGTTTTGTTTTGAAGTAAGAAAAACAAAAAGACGGTATATACACGGACCCCCCACACCCTCTCATACCCACACTCTGTCTCCCAAATGCCCTCACTCTAGCCCTCCCCTCCTCCAATAATCTCATATACACACTCTTTCCACACTCATACCCTTGCCCCCCCCCCCACAGTCTCCCCCCATCCCAACGAACAATTCAATACTCGCGTTCAGCCCTCGGAACCTGCAGCGGTGAAAGCAGCAGACCCTTCGCCGTGCACGCGACGAAAAACGAAAACATAGGTGGCGTCACTTACACAAATCCGTACGTGGAACGGACGAAGTTCCAGGAGCCCATCATCGCGTGGGAACAGTAGAACAGCGCTGCGAGGACCCCGAGAAACAGAATCACCGTCTTGGCAATCGACGACAATGCCCTGCTACTTCCGTACGAGCGCGGCAACCGCATCCCTTGCTCCACCTGCCACGGAAGGAAGAAATGGCTTCACTGAAACCGTGGAACTGGAACTGGAAACGGGAAGGAGGAAATGGTTTCCGAGGAAGTCTTATCGGAGAGATGGAAGAAAATTTCGTCAGTGCAAGTATTTATAACTTATTTTGGATCTAACTGAGATCAACTTTATTTTCATGGAAATGGTTTCGCTAAAATCCGGAAATGGAACTGGAAATGGACAGGGAACCCACGGTGTGTCACTTATCTGTTCAACGTTCTTAGACATTTGCAATGAATGGTTGCATACAGTCGCACGCACGCACGCACGCACGCACGCACGCACGCACGCACGCACGCACGCACGCAGGAACGTATGCACGCACACACGCAGGAATGTATGCACGCACGCACGCACACACACGCACGCACGCACGCGCACACAAATTCACAATACTGAGGTGGACATGCAGTAAGCAATCGTTGCTCTGCATGACCAATAAGGTCACGCTATAAAAAAAAAAGCCATGTCCATGGCATCTTGGCAGATGTCGCCCACTGTCATCCGTCGAAACGCATCAACTCTGTCGCAGTCAACGTAACCCGCAGTCGACACGTGCAGAACCAACACGGCAAATTACCAGTTTATGTTGCTTTCGTAAACTTCAATATGTACTTGCTCTCCAACACTCACCCCCCTCTAAAGCTTTCACACCTCCAAACTCTCGCTCTTCCACGCTCTCACCCGCTAATACACTCGTTTACCCAATTGCTTACCCCTCCAATGTCCAGTGTCAGTGCCAGGTCCTGTGTGCTGCAGTGGCTAGGGCGAGTGTAGTGTCGTGACCCGAGAAGAAGAACACCCCTCCAATACTTATACTCTTAAGCTTTCACCACCCTCAAAACTCACACACCATCCCTCGAGCGTGCACAACCGTCCCAACTCTTAGACGGCTTTTAACAAGTGACAAAAGCTTTGTATATCAATGCTCTAATCCCCCAGGGTCCGTGTATATACCGTCTTTTCGTTTTTCTTACTTCAAAACAAAACACGAAAAACGAAAAAGGGTAGTTATTTCCTTTTTCGTTTTTCATACACGATAACGAAAAACGGTAAGCGATAAACAAATTCGTTTTCCGTTTTTCTCGCACAACAACGATAAACGGTAAAGGAAATACGAATTCGCGTTTCGTTTTTCGTACCGTGAAACGGAAAACGAGTGGCGCTGCAGTCGACTCGGCGGTGCCATGCATATTATGTCATCCATCATAACATCCACCAGTATCCCAGATGTTTGCACACGTATTCAGGAAGTATGACATGCGCGGGCGTTTTTGCGGTGCAAATGTTATAGAAAAATATAATCGGATTGTTCAGATATCAAGTACGCCTCCACGCAATCCTCCCTAACAAACCCGGTGGCATCTTTCCGCATCTCTGCATGCGGTCGTGTCAGACTACATGCTACTAACAGTAACACCAAGGAGGGGGTTAAGTATATCAAACATTCACAGCTGCTTGGCTTGCACCAGGAGATGAAAAGTGCGATGACCTTACCAGGCCTGATTTCGCCATTACAACATGGCATTGATATGTTGCGCCACATACTGGTCGTAGTCGGGGTTCCTGGTCTATCGTGCGCAGGAGAGAAACCACGAATAATAATGTAGCAGAGTATGCTCTATGTTCTGCGTTGAAATTAGAAGGGATATTATACAACTTGTAGCGTGCCCAGCGGTGCGATGCAGAACACGCCTCATTTAGCTAACCATCAGCGCGTTTCATACCCAACTCATTTCCGGTGATGCACTGTGGAAGCTTTCTCCTGGCAATGCTGAGAGCTGATAAACTGGTGGCAGCACCTAGCGGACGTAGCCCGCATTCCCGTGATGGATCAAAAACCAAGGAACAGTCCTGTGACGTTACAACCAAAAAACCACACGCGTCACTGTATTTACGGGAATTATTAAAGATCGACTGGAAAAAATGTTAGAAGACGCAAATATTTTGGGGGAGTTACAGAATGGTTTCAGGAGGGATCGGCGCACGGGGGGATAACCCAATGCATTCAGCAGGCGAAACATGTAAGAAAACCATTATACCTTGCATTCTTGGACTTCAAAAAAGCTTATGACTGGGTGGATAAAAATAAATTACTAAGGAAACTAAGAAAGAAGAATAGGTTGGGACTGTTTCAATCGGATTGGATAGCATCTAAAGTAGGTCTGAAGCAGGGTTGCCTTTTATCACCAATCCTGTTCGCATTGTTTATCAATGAATTGTCTACTAGGCTCGTCACAAATGCAAATGGATTATGCATTGGAGGCAATAGCTTTCTTGGAATGTTATACGCGGATGATGTGGTTCTGCTAGCAGAGAATAGGAGTAAAATGGAAAGTATGTTGAGCATTACCGCAGACTTTGCAGAAAATTTTGGAATGGTTTTTGGAGAAAAGAAATCCCAAATCATGATTCTCAATAAGCCGATAGAGGAGCAACAGGGTGTCTGGAAGGAGAGAGAGACAGACAGAGAGAGAGAGAGTGAGAGAGAGGGAGAGAGAGACAGACAGAGAGAGCGAGAGAGAGAGAGAGCGAGAGAGAGACAGACAGAGAGAGCGAGAGAGAGAGAGAGAGCGAGAGAGAGAGAGAGCGAGAGAGAGAGAGAGAGAGAGAAAGAGAGCGAGAGAGAGAGAGAGAGCGAGAGAGAGAGAGAGCGAGAGAGGGAGAGAGAGACAGAGCATTTGCCTCTTCTAGGATGATTAGGGCCGTAATTAGCATATAGTATATATCCGTCGTATTGCACATCGTGTGGTTATACGTACGATGACGAATAGTTAACGGCGAAGCATCCGCGGAAGGCTTCCCCTAATGGTTTCGCGAGGAGCTGAGGACCTCTCTCTACAAAGAATACGGCCGTCTGTAATACATAGCGCGAGCTCGTAACGATGGTAAATAAGCGGCAGAGTTTCTAGTAGAACCCGTAACGACATTACCGTGGCTTTTAAGAGACCGATTAGGAACGAGTTCGGACGGATACGGTTTGTAAACACAATAGTCGGTTATACGGTTTGTCGTTGATGAGACCCGAATACGTTATTTCTACGAGAACGATCGATATTTCCCACACACAAGATTACCAGATCGATCAATTAATCAATCAATCAACCAATCAATCCATCGATTGACGGATCAATTGATCTAAGGTTTGCGTTGTGTGTGTGCCAATCGTCGGTGTGGCTTAAGGCGTGTCAGTTGTCGACGTTCGGCTGCTATCTGACAAGATACTGGCAGACTCCTGCCACGCACACCGCCAGCCTCCAGACTAATTACATCAAATTACAGCAGCTCTCGCTAAGATTTAATGAAGAAGGCTTCGATGTGCACTGAGTAGCGAGCGTGGTTTAGTTAAAGATCGCGACGTCGGCGCTAACCGAATTTAAGAGCGCGTGCGTCGGCGAAACTGATGATTGTGTGTTTTGTGTGTAAAACAGGGATTTTAAAAACGGTGACCTGACCCCACGGTCCCACTTACACACGCGCGCTCCCCTGCGAGTATCACCAGGGGGCGTGACGGTTCATAGAGCGGCGCGGAATGCTGTCGATTTACATACTAGACGCGGCGCGCATTCTAATTAATTAATTAATTCTCGCAACTAACTAAATCAAACCCCGTTAGTGCGTTTGCGCATCTACGACATATATATATATATATAGTAATAGTAATAAATATATAGAGACATCTAGCTAGTATATTATTTCTATGGAATCTACACGCGCGCGTACGGCACGCGTTATTATGAAATGTGTTTTGCGTGCGGGAGCGAATACGCGCCTAAAGCCTGGCGCACATTGCCGAACATTTTCCCGAACAAATGTTTTTGTCTAGCAATGTGCGGGTGGACAATTGCTGAGCGCACATTGCCGAACATTTTGCAGCGAACAATCTCGTGGCGCCGTCTAGTAGCTGTGTTGTAAAGAGTCACGTGATCGGCGCATGAGTTCACACGGACGTTTTTGGCCCGAGCCTAATTAGGCCCGTGCCAGATTTGGCTCGAGCCGAGCGTTCACACGGACGTTTTTGGCCCGAGCCTAAATAGGGCCGAGACAGATTTGGCCCCATCGAAAACGTCGGACCAGGCCCGAGCCATATTCTGCAACTATTTCGGCCTTAGCCGCTGGACTAAGAGAGATTGAAGATTATGTGTGAAGAAGCTCTCTCTCTGCTCAAACATGAACATAAACAACGTAGTTCACATCGGGGCGACACCCAGATCAACACAGGGTTGTCCAGTTGAAAGGCCAGTGCTTAGCTTTTGCCAATATATAGACAGATATAGAGGCATATTATATTATAGACACGCAGATGACAGTCTGTGGTGTCACACTCGTCTGGTTTGTTTTACAAGATTTCATTGACAATATCTTTAATGCAAAATTGGTATTTTCTCTCCACCCTGCCGATAAAACGTCTATATAAGAGTAAAGTTTTACAAAACGTGTAGGAACGCAGCATATAACCTATTTATTTCGAACGCCATCGCTAAGAAACATCAAAGCGGGTATAGCGCCATCTACCGTCACAAATTGTGTTACATTTTGGTTTATAAATTATTATTGCGATATACAGATGGCAACCGTGTGCTACCGTCTAGAAAAACTCATACGAAGTAAACACTTCCATGCCTTCCTTCCTTCCTTTCCATTCCATTTCCATTCCATTTCCATTTTCTCATTTCCCATTTCCCATTTTCATTTTCATTCCTTTGACAAAAGTTGTGTTATGGGCAGGGAAACACCATTGTCACGTGGTATATAGCAGCTACGTGGAATAAGCGTATCCTCTCAATCTTACCTATGATCTTACACCTTACACATCGGGAGCTCCGCTTTTAGGCAGTGCCTAAATCTGAATATTGTAAAAACGATCATTTAGGTGATCATTTGATCAGGGTAATGCTATCCCCCGGGCGTGGAGGGAGGTGACCGCAACGTGGCAGCACTAGTGTTAGGATTAGGGTTAGGGTCAGGGTTAGGTTTAGGGTTAGGGTTAAGATTAGGGTTAGGGTTAGGGTTAGGGGTAGGGTTAGGGTTAGGGTTTTTGCATCATGATATCTGTCCCCACACCATAGATTAATTTTTGTGGATCACAATGCCTATATATAGCGCTGCGATATATATATATATTCAGTGGTAGGGTTAGTGTTGGAGGTCTTGTAGTTAGAGTTACCGTTACCGTTAGGGTTAAAGGCTCACAATGCGCATCCAAACGCTAATTTCTCCAGTACTAGACTAGCAAATACTTCGTGTCATGCATAATCACACTACCTTATGACAAAATAAACTCTAGTTGCTCCCATTTCACTGCACGTTTGCTTAAAACCCACAAGAAAGAGGTGAGAAAACTG